CCAGGCATGCCACCTGGGTAAGAAAACTTTAAATTGGCTTGTGGGCTTGTGCCTAGGAATGATCTTTCAACTCGGGTGTTGTATGAATTAAATGTTATTTTGCATTTTTTTTGTTGTTGTTCTAAAAGGTATGGGCTCTATAAGTACCAAAATTGTCTAATAAAAGAGCCTGGCAATAAATTTAATTTACGGAATATAAATCTGCCTCAGAAGAAAATAGATTTTTGTGTTTTAGGATGGTATGTAGGTAGCCATCTGCTTCAATTGCATGTGATGTAATTAAAGTAGTTGGTTATAGATTTGAGTTTCTGAGATTCAGAACTGTCCATGACACTTTGTAGTTGTGACAAAAAGCAAACTCTGTAAATGATTTAAATATTTATCTCATCATCAAGAACCTAAAATGTTAGGTGCTCGTGCTCATCACTTTTACTTAAATATTGTTGGATGTGACAGGTAAACAATACACTTTCCCACTGTATTTTGAAAATCACAGTTAGATTTTGATTTTGTCATACATTTTCACAGATTGCATCATCAGAGAAAATACACCCAGTCATTTTGCGGTGAAAACATGTAAGCATCTCATTCATGATGTAATTCAGGAGGTATAATCATAATGTCATTTTCTTGTGTGTTTAATGATATCTATTCAGTTGACTTCATAAATTTTCTAACCTTCCTCACTAAAATTTCTAAAACTTGTGAGCTGATTGACACAGGTCTCTGAAAGGAGGGAAATAAAACATCTTTGAGGAAATAGTAATAAGTCCATATATAAATGAAGCATTTTCTAAATGTGCAACTATTTTCTCCTAACTGCTAAAAGTATTGGGACTTAGTTAAAAGGGTTGGAATTTAAGAAAGAATATATAGTCCTTTGCCAAATTATATGCTTTATTATTATAGAAGGTATTTGAATTTTCTTCTGATAAAAATCTATGTATAGAAAAATCTGATAAAAGTGCTAAATCAAAAATTCACAGACTTGTAAATTTTTAAGTGAATTAGACATTGGTATTTGAAGATGAGCTCCTTTAGAGGAAGGAAAGTAAATATGAGTTATGTTTTAATTTATGGTTTAATGTTAGCTATCCTAAGTAAAAATTAGGCAATGTAATTTTACCTTTGATTCTCTTTAATATTGGTGGTAATTTTTCTGCATCCCTCCAAAAAAGATCTTATTTCCACAGTGTAAACTCAATATTTTTTTTTTTCTGAGAAATCTAACAACTCTAAAATAGAGATTTCTTTCTTTTCTTTTTTTTTAACTTATGTTCTATGTGGATATTTTCTAAAAGACAAAAGGTGATTTTACTTTCCAGTTGCATATATTTTAGGCCTCTTTTATATGTTGAGAGTGTAATATTAGAGTGTAATATTGTTCCTAATGACTTTAAATGTATTAAAATGTTTGTCAACAAAGACCGACCCTCCCCATCCCTCATTTTACTGGCAAACCCAAGAGTTTGCTGGGTTTTAGAGGAGTTTATTTTGATAGGTTTGTTTTAGTGTATTGTATGTTCTTTCAGCTTGATTTCAATATTAGGGATCAAATTCAAGTCTTCTATCTGTTGTTTCAGGATTTAGCCAAAATATTTTTCAGTGGTTTATACTGTTGATTAACTTCAGTTTCTCAAAATTTGCTTTCTAATAGAATGATGCCAATGGGTGGAATGATGCCACCTGGACCAGGAATACCACCTCTGATGCCTGGTATGCCACCAGGTATGAAATATCTGACAGTTTCCCTTTTAATATTACTGGTATGATTTAAGTATTTTAGACAATAGATTAGTGGGCACTGGCACAATGTAATTTTAAATTTTTCATAGTTTGATGACTTTTTAAAATAACCACGGGAAGTGTTATGATGGGTCCCCCTTTTTCTCGAGTTTTCAAAGAGTAAAAATAGGCTTCAAAGCAGCCAAAACGAGTCACAGAGCCTGCGCATCGATGCTCACATACTTAAGATTGGTTGTAGTTGTTAGACTGTTTTAGACAAGTAATAGATAAGAGACTCTTGGCAAGTAATAGAGAACTTGAACAAACTATAGACATTAAACAACATAGACATTTGTTATATCATTCAACAAAAAGAAAATGGTAGATTCAGTGCCTTGGTGATATCAAGAACCCATGCCTTTTAAATTTTCCACTTTGTGTTAACTTTAGCTTTTTTCCTTTGGGCATGTCACTCAGTGGTAACAAGATGACTTAGGCAAGAAAGGATGTCAACAGCAATGTGCTTTTCTTTTATTAGAGAGCAAGGTAACTTTCCCAGAGGCTGCTTAGCATATCATTGGCCAGAAATAGGCCCGATGGATTCTCTAGTTGCAAGGGAGCCTGGGAAATGAAGTATCTTGACTTTTTAGTCTATATAATATGGGGAAAGGGATTTGATTAGCCAAAAATGTATGCCATGGAGGCCTTCAAGAGGCTCTCAGCCTGTTGCCTTACTTTTTTATATTTAATCCTACCAAGTTTGAGTTTTAATCCATAACAGGTTTAAAAGTATTCAGGTGATAGTTGATATAAAAAGAACCAGAAAAATAAAGCAGCGGCAACATTTTAATTATTGCAAGGGCAGCCATTAATGTATAGGCAACAGCTCCACATACATAATGCTCAGATAATTTGGGGCATTTAAAATAATAAATAATAACCAATGTTCATTAGATAATGTGCAGTAAAAGCTTTAAGTTATGTTGAAGTTTAAAGAATGTGCACTGGTGATGCATTTTAGGAAAATTTAAAGTGTTCGAAGGGAAAAAATTTTATGGATATATGGCTTATTAGAGTTTTAATGTAATTTGCATTGGAGTTGGTACAGCTGTTAGGTAGACATAATTCTCTATGTTTCAAAAAGTTTGCTAAATGAGGGTATCAATAAGTTTAATTGCTGCTTTGCCCAAATACAGGATCTCTAGTGGTATCATTCACTTCCCAAATTATGAAGAGAGAAAAAAGAATAGAATATTTGAGGCAGGATTGTTCTAAGGGACAAATGCCTAAGTTCTTTGGATTTCATTGAGTTCAGCAGTTAGTCATTAGTAACTTTGTAGGGTAGAAGTATTTTTAATATGGTTCATTTTAAAAGCAAAGTTTTGAGAAAATACCTTGTTTTGAACTGAGTGCTTCAACAACTAGGTCTTCCTCCCAACAATTCTTTTCTACAGGTCTGCCCCCTCCTGTTCCACGTCCTGGAATTCCTCCAATGACTCAAGCACAGGCTGTTTCAGCACCAGGTATTCTTAATAGACCACCTGCACCAACAGCAGCAGTTCCTGCTCCACAGCCTCCAGTTACCAAGCCCCTCTTCCCCAGTGCCGGACAGGTAAGGTGAAATTTCTAAAAAGGAGTGCACTTCATTTAAAGGTAGTGTTGTTTACAGAAATCTTTCATTTGTCATAAGTCAGTTTTTAAAATAATTTTAGTATAATTTTTTAACGTATTGAGAAGTGGCGTATTCTGTGTTTGTACACATTGATTTTCTGTATTCATAAAAGACTTACTGGAGCCAGATAGTGTAATATGTTATTTTTTCATACATATGAGTTCTGGTTATTTTAGCTTTAGTTAGAAATGAAAGTTTAATTTTTGGGGGCCTAAATACATGATAATGTTTAGAGGTCCTCCTTTGCCTGTTGAACTGTGAGTTGAATGAAAGCAAAGCCAAGGATGAAAATTCTAAGACCTAAGTAAATCATTTGTTGGGCTTGTTTTCTAGAATAGAATAGTGACAAATTACAGTGCTGCACACTTGCTTTTTGAAAAGGCATCGTTTAATTGCTTTTGACCTAATCACAATTTCCCACTGGTTTTGTCTTCAGAACTCAGAAGCAAAAGATGCTTTTTTGTGTGTGTGTGTCTATAATGGTTACTTTTTTATTTTTTTTCGAGTTTTTTGTAGTTGCTAAATTAAAAGCATTGCTTCCTAAGTGCTGTTTAAGCAAGTTAGCTTAAGATTTTGAGGTGGGTCGGGATTTTGTTTATCAAGAGATGTTAAACTTGGCAAAAACCTTTTGTAGAGTCATTGATAGGGAATCGAAGTGTTAATAATCCTTATTCTCAGTTAAAGGTAGCATTTTTGAAATATCACAGTGCAAAAAATTAGTTTCAGAAAAGAAACTGGTTAACTAGGTTTATTGATGTAGAATTAAATTTGAGGCTCAAATTTATGAGGCTTATACTGTTTATTGTAAATGCATTAACTGCCTGCCTCTTAAGTAAATTGAATTTGATTGCATTGTATTTTGCATTTACAAAAATGCAATCTATACTAAAAAAGTCTACCACATGGCTTATTTTTACCCATTTGTTTGGAGACTTTTCATTGTTTCCTTTCTTTTATGCTACAGATGGGGACACCTGTAACAAGCTCAAGTACAGCTTCATCCAATTCAGAAAGTCTGTCTGCATCTTCTAAAGCTCTGTTTCCTAGCACAGCACAAGTACGCAGGAAGTTGCAGTTTAAAATTGTTAAAATGGCTTTATAACTTAACCCTTTGGACCCTATTTTAAAACTAAATTCCTCCCCTCAATATACTATTTTTTTAAACTAAGATTAATGGTATATAAATCAATGGTATTTGAAAATTGAACTCAGAAAAAAAGTGCCCCAAACTTCTATGGTTCTAAAGGGTTAAAAGCATGTAAGCAGTAAATGCATTATAGTAGCCAATGGTTAGCCTGATGCATGATTAAGCTATTTTGATTTATGCTGTTAATCTAATGCATCATATATAACATAAAGAAATTTAGTACTCTGTATTTGGTTCCAAAGTCGTCCTAGTCTACATGTTTCAGATGTTTGGCATACAAAAAGTAACATTTGTTACTGCTAACTTTATACTTAAAAGATCCTTCTAAACCTTTTTGTCCATGGTAATCATCCAGCCATTGTTAATTGGGAGGGCATTGTATTACTTTATAAAGAATACCTCTGAAGAACATATTTTTAACGTGTCACCATTGCTATTAATGACGCTATGCTTAGTAACTGAAATTTATCCAAACATTTGTATTCTGTATATTCTAACATTTTTGAGCTGCTTGGTAGATTAATTAAAAAACTAATTTAGAATAGTAAAATAGAATAATATGCTATTTCATTTTATAATGCTATATTTCATCAATCTGGAATAAATACAAAGCTTTTTATTTATATTGAATAACTTTTGGTTGGGAGGTGTAGATGACATTGGAGAAGTCACATATTCTTTCTTGTTACTTGTTTCCAGTGCTGTGTTTTGGGTGTGACTTTGACCCAGCATTCTTTGATATTCTTAGTGTTACCTTGAATTTTGTGGTGCGTTTATCATGTTAACTTCGTTTTAATTTCATTTAAAGTTTGGTCCTTTATTGAATGTTGGTGTTTTTAAGTTAAATTGATAGTAGATATACTCATTTTGGGTTTTGAAGTTTTATTGATGAAAGATTGTGTTTTACAGGCTCAGGCAGCTGTCCAAGGACCTGTTGGTACAGATTTCAAGCCCCTAAATAGTACCCCTGCAACAACTACAGAACCCCCAAAGCCTACATTCCCTGCTTATACACAGTCTACAGCTTCAACCACTAGTACAACAAATAGCACTGCAGCTAAACCAGCGGCTTCAATAACAAGTAAGCCTGCTACTCTTACAACAACCAGTGCAACCAGTAAGTTGATCCATCCAGATGAGGATATATCGCTGGTAAGTTATTTGCAGTTTTTTACTGGCAGCATTGTAGCAGCTTGTCCATTTGAAAAGTTTTAATTTGTACACCAATGGTCTTATGATCTGATTTAATGCTTACTAAATGGTTTTTAGATTCTGATTTTTAAGAACCACAAAATGTGAATATATTGTGTGTTTTGATCTTAGCTGCATTCCCTCCCCCCAGACTATTTCTAAAAGAAGTTAAGTTGGGTTCTTATTCTTAAAAAATTATTGTAGTTAGATTTGTAAATTAATTGAAGAAATAATTAACTGAAGTAGAATCTGCAGATCTCTTGAAGGCCTTGTACTTTCTTCAGACACTTTCTTGTTGAAACAATTTATAATTTCTGGAAAGTTATCTGTGCTTCAGTTGTAAAAATAGGTGAGATTTTCTTAAGGTATTGAGATTTTAAGTAGTTGAATTGGTTTGTAGGGGCAAAATAATTGGGGGCAAGTAAGGGTACATTTTAAAAAAATTATAAAGGTTTTAGATGCTTATTTTATGCTTAATGAGCCCCTGTAATCAGGTGTTTAACATTGTTTTTATTTTTATTCCTAGGAAGAGAGAAGGGCACAGTTACCTAAATATCAGCGTAATCTTCCTCGTCCAGGACAGGCTCCCATTGGTAATCCACCAGTTGGACCAATTGGAGGCATGATGCCACCACAGCCAGGCATCCCACAGCAACAAGGAATGAGACCCCCAATGCCGCCTCATGGTATTCCTCTTTTTATGTTTATTCTATTTAGTGGATTTTTTGAGTAGACACACAAAACAAATTTATCTGCAAAATACATTGCATTTAAAAGTACAATGCATGGACCAACTCAATATATTTTTTGTGTTTTAAATGTGTTTTTTTAGGTCAGTATGGTGGTCATCATCAAGGCATGCCAGGTTACCTTCCTGGTGGTATGCCGCCGTATGGGCAGGGACCGCCAATGGTGCCCCCTTACCAAGGTGGGCCTCCTCGACCTCCGATGGGAATGAGACCTCCTGTAATGTCGCAAGGTGGCCGTTACTGATCTCACTTCATCCAGTCTAATAGGTTTGGAGATTAAACCTTTTCTCAACTTGTGCTGTTTATATAGCCAAGCTTTCGTCAATAAGGCTTCATTGTGACTTTAACAAACATTATCTTCCCACATACCAGGAACTATTGGACATTTATTTTACATGGGAAAAATATTTGGAATAATAAAGCAGGATCTTTTCCTGAAGTTGCAATTTATACTGTATGGCTTCTTTTTCATGTTTCATCTAGGTTTTTAGAAGTGAAGTATAGTAAATTTGGTTCGTTATATTGTGAAGGCGCTGGAATTACATGAACATACCACCTTAATAAAGGCAAGTTCTGTAAGCTTACATTGCTATTTGTAAAGTTATGCCTTCACAGCGTTTCAGATGCTGTTGGACTTCATGTCCCCAACCTAGCTTGGTGAGGGCTGTAACTATTTCCAAGTACCTGTACATTGGAAGTCTGAATGTGTAACAATATTTAATGTATTTAGAGTTCCTCATGTTGCAGGGTTTACGAAATCTGACCCACCAAGGTCATGTGACTTTTCTGTACTGTTAAACTTCATTGTAATAAAATGAGAGAAAAATTTATGCCTTTTTATTCATAACCCAGCTGTGGACCACTGCCCAAAAGGTTTGTACAAATGCATGCCACAATAGATGTCCACATAATAAAATTCATAGTTACCAATGCAGTTTTGATATATCATTGGATTCTGTCTGAATTGTAGGTTGTTCCTTAGCTGCATGTTTTAAACTGGACAGTATATATAGAATTGTATGTTAGTGCTTCAGTTAACAAAAACTTAGATAAGTATCAGTCATTACATAATGGGTATGAAATCTTTATATTGTATCACCTTTTACCCTCTTGATGTCAATACTTGTTAGATGTCAT